AGACGAATGGCGCCGAAACGAGGACACTTCTTCCCGCCGATTTCCGCCAGAATTTATATCGCAATTAAGAGCAGGCGTTTGATATAGCTCGACGATGGCGTTTCCATTTCTTTAATGAAAAACCGTTTTCAACGTACGGCTGATTCAACGCGGCGAGAGCCAAGGCAATATTTTCTTTCGTTTGCCATTTATACCGGGAGGGAGGGGGGTTGTTTCTGTTGTGAACCTGGAAGATGATTCCTGCTCTTCAGGAGGAGCAAGTTGGAGAGCAATTGAGGTTTCGTACACTAGAATTTTGGACTGAATAGGAGTGAATACATTATTCATAGGAGAGGAGGAGTTATCCCACGTGAGCGGAAATAAATGAAAGATTTTTCCGTTTAAAACTTTAAGGTAAGTTTCAGGAAAATATAGTTTAGTTCAGAATTGGCTTAGCAGACGTTAAATTTAATTTAATTCTCGAAATGAAAGCGTCTTGTGAGATTATTACATTTCACGCTTTTGCATATTATATTTGTTATATTAAAATAATAATATAATTATTATATACTACGCTTGTATTATATATATTAATTATATATATTATTATATATTAATATAACAATATAATATATTATAATTTACGCTTTTTGACATATTTCGTACTTTCTGTCTGTTGTTCTGACCAGCCCATAATTAGTAGAATTTAAATACAATTGATAAATTTTCAAACTCGAGTTTCTATTCCAGAGCGACCAAGAGTAGCAAATATGAAAAGTACATTATTCTCTTCATTTCAAAAAATTAGCAGTAAAGTTATTATAATATAAAGTTATTTATTTAATATAAAATTAATTAAATCAAGAAAGTAGCATGATAAATAAGATCACTTCCAACCGAAAATATGATAAATTTAAATGGATTTTGTACGTCCCTTTATTCTTATCCATAGCAATTCCAAACTGTACGACTCGAAACAAATTAAATTTAAGGATTTAAGAATTAATCCTTTCTACTTAAAAAATTTAATCATTCTAGGATTAAATGGAAATTAATCTTTCTAGAATTAAATGGAAAACAATCTCCTCTTTTCGATTCATTTTTGCACGTAGAATCATCCAGCCCGTCAATTTGCGGAACATCCTCTATATCCTTCGCTACTTCTTCTTCCATCTGTGCTTGTTTCGTTTGACGACATGGTGGTTACACGGCGAAATACGATTCTGAATTGGTTCTACGGAAACGATCGCTATGTATTACGTTAACGAGCCACTTTCCGTGCTGGAGGTAAGCAGTCGAACGTTTAAGAGGCACAACGAGAAACGAGTGTCCGTTACAGTTTATAAAATCGATGTGCCCCGTTGCGAGCGTTCTCTGCTGTAAATATAAAGGTCTCGTTTCCAACCGGTGAAATTCTACCCTGGGATATTACCAATTTTTGTTCCTTTTTCATATAGTTACGGCAGGCAGTTCGTTTCGTCTTGCGGGACGATCCTCCGGTTTAAAGTTTATCGCGCACGTTGAAAATTCTCGTAATGTTCGGCGCAGCAACAGGTTAATACGTTTGCTATTCCGGGAGGAGAGGTGTATCGGGATAAGCACTGTACTTGGCTAGACTTCGTTGAATATCGATTCGAGAGATTTTGTGAAATGTTAACTGCAAGAGGTTCTGTAAATTCCGCGTTGAATCGTATGTGGGCATTTGTTCGTCAACTCTCAATAATTCGTGTTAGATACGTGCTAAAATTTGGCACGCTTGATCTGATTAGATGCTATACATTGTCCCTGAAAGTGACAATTGGTAATGAAATTAAACTAAATTGAAAATTCCAAAATTACGCGAATCAAGTTATTAAGGGTGAAATGTAAAATAAATATGAAACAATGACAAACTGCATTCTTAATTTTTAAATTTTCGAACGATTTGCCTGGAAATTCGCTCGTTTCACGTGCCTACATGTTCCTGTCACATTTTCAAACTAGTAGAGCAGAAAATGCCGCAGGTATTCAAGAATTTCCAATATCCCGAAAAATCCAAAATTTTCGAAAATTTCCAAATATTCAACGTGGCACTCCAGTCTACTCGTACATTCTCTTTACCACTTGAATCCCCATTGGCTACCAAACATTTCACTGCTTTGACATTTAACTTATAATCAACGTTCTCCCATTCGTCGTTCAACGAATTTTCATTTTTATTCCGCGAATCTAACCGAAGAAATAAAATTTAAATAGAACTTTAAATCTCACCTTTGAATCTTATAATCATGTAATTTCATATTATTCATTTCGTTTATATGTATGTAACTTTATATTTTCACAAATAAAATTAAAGGAATATAATTTAGATAAAAATTTAAATTTCTACCGTGAATATTTCATAGTATGTAATGTAATAATAGTAATTAAGTTTTTAGAACAAGTAAAAAAAGAAAAGAAAAAAGAAACATATTTTCTATTAAAAAGCAAGATATATTTTTCTTTAATTGTTTGTAATCAATTTTATAATATATATATATAAATTTACTCATACGTACTAGATTGAGAGAAAATAACGTTCTTTCATTACACTGAAAATTCGTACATTATCGCTGCATAAAATGTACTTGATAATAAACAAAAACAAAGAAGACTTGTTGGTCTTCAAAATACAATCACAATCAAATTTCGGACATTTAATTTGAATTTTACATCTACATTACATTCTCTCTGAGAGAGATTGGCAATAAAATTAAATTCAATTAAAAATTCGATACATTGCGGATAATCGTCGAACCACTCTCGTATTTCCACGTACAATACCTTCTAATTTTTCGATTTCCGAGTGCCCGAAAAATGTATAAATAATGTCCACGGTTCGCTCATCGTCCACTCACGAATTCTCACTAATCGAACACGCATCGTGCGTTTGCATTATTCCTATAATATATAATTCCATGTGGTTTTGATTTTCGAAAGAGCCGCGATAAAACCGAGCGGATGTTTCCACCACGAATTGGAGCTCGCGGCACGATTTATCGTTTAACCCGGCCCCCTCCCGAAACAATTTCGATACTTTCAACTAGTAAACTCGTTACAAGGAAAAGTAACGCGGCTGACACGGACAGATCGTTTAACGAAGTCTAACGGGCCTGCTGGATGCTGACTAAGCCACTCCGACATGCAAATCGATGCAAGCCGCTTTTTCGTACGGACAGAGAAGCCGATGATCGATTAAACGCTCGATGAGGACAACTTGCGAGACGTCTACCGCGGGGAATTTACTTGGACGTTTATTGACCCATTAAATTCCAGAGACCGTCGGTCGACGATGGCTGTAAAATTTCTCCTTTTGTTGGGGAAAGAGTACCACTTAATGCGGAGACATTGAGATATCTTTTCGTGCTGGTGTGTGTGTGTGTGTGTGTGTGTGTTTTAAGTGGAACAATGTAAATTCTTACGTTGCACCTGTTGTTTTAGACGTTTCAAATGGATTTCATTTGGCGTTTGTTAACCTATGTACAATTAAAACTCGTTAACATAGTCTAAAGTTCAAGTAAATTTTTATTAAATTTAATCCTCTATTTGTCATTAAATAGAACAATGGCAACTCTAACGTTAATCAAAACTTGTTAACACAAAGTTGAAATAAAATGTACCTAACCTGTGTAATGAATTTAAGCTGAAGTTTAAATAAAATTTATTAAATTTAATTCTCTGATTACCATTAAATAGCATAATGGCAACTCGTATCTGTTGTTTTACATTTTTAAAATGATTACTTTATGCAACCAAGACTGGTTAACGCAAAGCTTAAATAAAACGAGTTAAATAAATTTAATCCTCTATTTATCATTAAGTAAGAATAGCCTTACGTTGTTTTGTATCTTGAAGATCAGCTTCATTTGACATTTATAGTGTTTGACGTAATCTAAAAAAAAAGTCTAAATAAATAAAATTTAGTCGTATCAAATTTATCATTTTTATAACCAGAATTTCATTTATGCGCAAGAGAAAAGAGTAACCAGTAAATCATAGTTTTCTAAAATTTTTAAAATCTGACAATAATGATAATAATTATTACAAATAAATCATTTGATATTTTCGTAATGGCACATTGACAATACACAATATCGCAGTGAAATGAAATTTTCAAAATGTATAGATAGACAGATATTTATCTCTCAACGATGTCACGGATGTCAGGGTTGAAAACAGCAAATCTTCGTTTATACATAATCGCTTGTTGAGGGACAAATATGAAACTCACATTGATCTTTGTAATATATCATTCGTTCATATTAAGAGATCACGTTGCAAATTCAACACGCAAGAGTTCACTTAATTAGGCAATGATGGAACTTTAGTTCAATCGTATCTTGCTTAAATCGCGCCGCTGTTAACAACTTCGACTTTTTTGCTTCATTCAATCACGAACGAATGAAATACTAGCCAAAGCACGAAACCGAACACTCCCAAAAAAGAGTACAAATGCCCAATGATATAATTTTCAACTCGCGCGTCACGTAAATCACAAAACCCGTGCAAAATGAACCCGAGACGCGTAACACTTCTTCTCACGTGTAACTGCGTTCATTGTGCTCGTCGGTTGCCGACGTGCCAACACGAGCCTGGCCAGCTTTTCAATTCCGCCGTTTGGAAAGTTGGCCGATCACCGTGAAGTAATTTGGGACCGAACAAAATTCGCTTGTCGTTCTCGATGGATCGCGCACAAAGGTCGGCGGCCGGTATCGAGCGGCCGCGTCGCGGACACGCTGTTTAAATACACAACCTCACTCGAAAAGTTTGCAATTCGAAGGAGAGCCAGGGAGGAATCCAGCTTTTCCGTGCGAACGCGGCCAAAGTCGATTCCGGATCGAAAGTTCGTCGACTGCGGACAAACGCCGCGCCACGTGTATCGTCGCCGCGCGCCGACATTTCTCCCCGTTAATAACTTATGGGGCAAAGTTTCGCGATGAAAACTGCGAGGGCAACGAGCGGACGGGGCGGTGGGACAGATTACAAGTGCGGTGGATACTTACAGAGGTCTACGGCGCTCGTCGTGTCAGCCAGAGCGAGGAGAAGCATAAGGTGGACGGCAGGTATCGCCCTCCCGGCGAAGAAACCGAAGCTTTTCACCATAGCTCCCGTTTCGCGCGAGGGCTTCACCCTCGCCCTTTTCTCACCGTGACTTCGACCGTGCCATTCCTGCCTCGTCGACCTGAAACAAAGAGAAAATGTAAGAAAAAAAAAAAAAAAAAAAAGAAATTATAGAGAATGAAACGGGTAGGGGAGAAGGTCGAAACGCGAGCGTTACGGAGACTCGCCACCTTTAACGATACAGGCCCGTAGCCCCGGGCTGGTCGAGTGATTTCGAGGGTGTGTTTTGTTGTTCCAACGGGTCTCGTTTCGCGTTCGAACGCTTCTATCACGCGGAAGCCTCTGCCTCTTCCGCTGGCGAAGTTCGATGACTTCGTTAGCCTGGTACTCGAGGGGAGATGACAACGGGTGAGGGAGTCGAGTGTCTACCGACTATGATCATCGATTTTATCTTCTATGAAGATACCACGCGCGAGATATTTTGTTCCGCGGGGTTTTCGACTTTCCTCGATGGCTGTTTGATCGTCACTCTCGCGTCTTTCGTCAATTCGAGATATTTTTATGAATGTATGTCGATATTAGATTCAACAGTGCTGTCTTTCTTTTTCACTCAGGTGAGGAGACGGACGGTAGTTTATTATAATGTTAAAAACACCTCTGTCTCTTTCAATTTCGTATAATTCTAGATTTCATAATTTATAATTAATAGAATTTAATAGTAAAATTTATAATTTTATGTAATTTTTTTTATATAACTTAATAATAAATTCTATCTCAAAGAAATAGATCTTCTACTGAATTTCGTAATTACAATGTTGAAAAACAGATTCGACAATGCAACGATTGAACAAAAATTGAAAAATATCGGTCCTTAATTTAATAGGTTGTGAATTCTTATTCTAGATTCATATTTCGACAGAATTAAAAAGATAGAACTTGAGAAGAAAATTTTACGTTTTATGTATCATTTTCTCGTAGAAAGTGATATTGATATTTCATGCATTTTCTCAGATTGTGTGCAATATCCGCAATATAGTTATTAAAGACACTTATTATTATTGAAATAAGTTTAGCAGAAATTAGTTAACTAGATGAATGATTAATTTTAGTTAGATTGAATGAACTTTTACTAATCTAATCTTTATTTGTTCAAACTCTCGTGTGTTTCGTTGTACAAAGGAAGAACCGATAAATTCTTATTACACGTATCTTAATTACACGAATTTTCAGTCCCGTGGATTTGTACTCGCGGAAAAAATTCAAAGGCGTAAACTACGAAAATTGAAAGCGACGTTCGATGAGTTTCGAACGCTCTACAGAGCAGAATTTACCACACGCTGGACGTTTGCGGTTAATTCGCGAAATCATCGCGTCCGAGTCGAATAAAATATTCAAACCAGACAGAGAAGCTTTTTCACATCGTGTAGATCTGTTGTTCTTCGGACAAAAAACGAAAAAAAAAAAACAAAAAAAAAGAAAAGATAAGCGAAAGATAGAGTTGGATTTATCATAGTAATTTAAACTTAAATCAACATTCGAATGCAGCGTTGCAATTGGAAAAATTGTTACTCCCCCCCGGTATTAGCGTGTTTTGTCTTATTTGTGAACCGCACGCGGAACCTTCTGAAAAAACAAAACCCCGGGAACAACGGGACGGCCATCGTGTTTGTCGTCGATAAAACAAAGTTTCATAGGCAAAACCAACAGAAACGAGCCGACTCGAAAAAATAACGCGTTTAAAATGCGCCCCGAAGGGTTGCCCGGAGCCATTTTGTCAACCGATTCATTTTTACTCCGACCGAGACAGGGTACCCAGTTATACACCTTCCTAATTATCCTTTGCTCGAATCTCTGATAGATATTGTGTAATATATGGTGTTTCTGTCATTTGCGTCTTTCATTCTTCCGAATGATCAATTATATGCTTTAATTGTATATTAAATATTGTATAAATATTGTATATTAAATATTGTATATTAATTTTATACGTTTGTAATTGTATTTTTATATTATTCCACACCAAGGGGTTTCCCTTGCCAGTAAATAAATGAACGAATAAATTTCATTCAGAAAAGATTTGTTGAATTATATATCTATGTAGTATGTCTTTCATGACAGACTTACGAGAATACATATATCTAGATAGTTTACAAACTAGTAGAATTTAAATCTCTAACATGAAGAACATAGATGTGATTTCTTTATTTAGAATTTGTCCATTCTTACGTAGTATAGCCAAAAATATGTATGGAATATATGAAATATAAATACAACGAGCGTACTCAAACTTTAGCCCGTGTAAACTAGTGCTCCGCGTTTATTATCATAAAAAATTTCTTACACATTTCCAAGTCATGAGAACATACTGCAGCAGAGAATAAAGTAATAACTTAATTAAGCTTCTCAACCCCATCTAACCCACCTAAGCGTAGAATTTTATTAAAGAATAGAACATTCCACGTATTCCGCATTAAGGTCCAAAAATTTCAGAAATTGGTGCCTAAGAAAACGATAACGAAATATCCTGCTATTTTTCGTTTGACTTTTTTCATTTGATTACCGTGTCCCCGTTGATCGGTCGCTCGACGTGATATTTTGAAACACACACAGTGTGCACGGTGTGCAGGCCTGACGCAGCATGGGAAAGCGAAAGCTCGATTAATTAATTCACGGCCGTGGGCCACGCCGCGGGAGATGGCTATAGATTTATTAGTTCGACAGTACGATGCTCCGTCGCGACGTTGTTGCTGTTATGCGTCAGCCAACGAATAAATAAACGGGAGAGAAAAGATGCGCGATACACGCTCGTAAGGAAGGTGCGATCTCCGCGTCTGGACTTTGATGGAGTACACGGCGGTAATTGCGCCGGAAGTGAATAAGTAATGGCGAACGGTAGTAAGAAGTCGCTCGGTCGTAGGCCTCGCGTGCTCGCATTAAACATACATGCGGCAACTTATGGCCGACGCGGCAGAAAATCCACAGTTTAGTGCGTGCGCGCCTCGTATACTCGGCGCTACCTCTCTCGTAACCGACGTCTCTCCACCGTATCTATACCTATATACGTATTATCGTTCGTAACTAACTGGATACTTGGGCGGTCTCTGGCCGATATCCAGTTTGAATTTGATCAAAGTATCAAACCGTATTGGATAACACACGTACTTTAAAACGGAAGTATTCCGCGTGGGTTGCTCTATCTGTATGTTTTATGTTTCTTGACGCATTGTGGACGAGAGATGCGAATTCGCGTCTTTCAATTTCAACGTTGCGGACGGGGAACTCTTTTTTGCGCTGTAGGGACACGACTTAGGCAACGTTATATAATTTACATAAAAATATATATATACATATATATATATAAAATTTACATTATATAATATTATAATATAATAAATATTTTGTATAACATTATATATAATTTACATTATATAATATTATATAATATTATGTATTATGATGTTATATAATTTTTCAAAAAATAGGGAAATTGTTTCCTAACAGGCCACACCAAAAAACGTTACTAGAGGTACTTTCATTTTATTTAATAAAATAAAAATGAAAGTAAAAATAAAATCTAAAATGAAAAGTAATTAATAATTTTAATTATTAATAAAATTAATACATTTGTTAAGTGCTATACATTCATTCTCTTGAACCCTTTCAATCATGTATTAAATAATTAAAAAAATACGAGAGAATACGAGAGAATACAGACTATTTGTTTATGACAGCAGACCGTCCTCAATGTGTTAATATAAATACAAAATAAATAATAATAATTCAAATCTAAAATACATAATAAATAGATTCTTAAATATTACTATAAGAAATATATAGTAATATTTAAGAATATTTTATCAATGTGCATATATGCATTGTACAAACTTTCTCTGTTGCTCCAAAAATGTGCGAAAGCAGGTTGGACGCGCCTAGTGCGGCACGCAATATGTTAATTAACACTAGAACACTATCGACAAGTGTCACGTATCAAGCACAAAATTTTCCATCGGAAAGACACAAACTAGATGACATAATAATAATATTCATCTCCAAAGCAGACGCGAAATGAAGCAATAAAATCGTAAAATGCACCTTGTCAAAACTGGGTAAGCACGCGGAGTACTTTCGAACAGTACTGTGCATCTGCCTCCTCTCTATCTCTCTTCCTCTCTGTTTCCCTCCCGCCGCATCGAAAAAAATTCTTTCAACTCGGTCAGAACTTGTGACGTGGCGTGCAAGTACGGTAGCCTCGATTGCTGATCAAACAAAGTGCTTCAACCGCCTACTATTACGTCTATTGCGGCCCGGATGAACTTTCTCTACGAGCCCCGAGGCCTCGATAAAATTCGTTTCGACGGACCAAAGGAAAACCAAGTGGGCCTCGCTTGACCACTTCGAATCGTCGAATTCTCCACTTGGTAAAATCCATTGGTCTATGCAAATTTTTCCGCTCGTCATTCAATTTAACGACCATCCCCCTCTCTCAATTCGTCTCTCGAGTCTTATCTCGACATCGTGGCTAGTCTGTGAAACGTTCCAATCAATTTCACGTCACCCCTCTCTCTCTCTCTCCTGTCGCGCGTTCCAATAACGAAATTATTCATCGATTGTTTTCTTTTCATCTCGTTGCTCGAGCGGTTTATCGATGCTCGCGAGGGTGCAAGTGACGCGGCGCCGTTGTCTTCGTGAAACGTTTACGAAGCCGAGGCTCGATCTTCCACCAGCGTAGGTTGGCCCGAAAGCTTTCGCAATTATTATTCCATCGACGAAGGAGGTCCGTTTTACGATCGGTATCGCACACGACGTGTATACGTGTGTACCTGTGCGCGAAGCTACCTGCTGTTTGTATCCGTTCACCGCGGCTAGGCGTTTGAGGCGAGGGAGGTGGTGGTTGTGTAGGTACGCAACGAAGGTAAGAGGCCCGGTTAAGCCGACGGTGTAAGCCGCGAAGGCTCCCCGTGATATCCTAGTTCGACGTCGAATCTCTTCGTTTGCATAGCAATGAGTTTATGCAGATTAATACACGCGGTACGTCTACGCGTCTACAACGCGTCTCGTGGGGATGTAAAGCACCGTTACCTACACACGATCCGCGAGCGTGCATGCATATTTTATTGACGGCGCCCGGCCGCTTAAGGATCGCATTCCCGATCGCATAAACCCAGCACGCGCGTCGCGAACCTACCACCCGCGATTTGTCTCCCTCTCGCCATTCCATTAGTTATAATCCGCGGCTCCGAGACTTTATCAAACAATGGCCCGGGTCTGTCCGCTTGTCTCCCTTTCCCTCGCTCTTTCTCTCTCTATCTATCTCTCTCTCTCTCTCTCTCTCTCTCTCTCTCTCTCTCTTTCTCTGGATCTGATGTAAGCTCACCCGACCTACAAGCTGTTTAGTGAATGATAGCAGCCCGATATACCATCGCCGGGGATATATATATATACATATGTATATACGTATCGATTCCTTTTTATCTTTGTTAGTGCTTATTTTTTTCTCTTTTCTTTTTTTCTTTTTCGTTCAGGCTGATCCGGTGTTGCGCCCTGCCATTCGTTGCATTGCTCTACCTGGTAGTCTAGAACGTGGGTTTAGGATTTATCGGGGGAAGATTTAATGTCGCGTTTCGTTTAGAACACGCCGTGTTTCCTTCTGATTGATTTTGTTTTTACGAGCACCGAATTTTTGAGACGGAAGGAATAGCGCGCTTCCTGTGGAGGAGAAACGTGATTAGATCGTTAAACGGAGATAGACAGGCGAGATTAGTATTTTTTGAATTATTTCTTAGATACGCGAGAATTTTATATCATACTTCTATAAAGTTTCGATGGAGATCAAAGTTTTAATTTGTAACAGAAGTAATTATATTTAATTAGTTGTGTGTCACAAAAAATATAATATTTCAATAAAGCAACCACAAAAAAAAAATACATAAAATATCTTACTGTCCAACCTACCCTAAATAATTGTTTAATTCATAAATTAATCAAAAGATTTCAAATATCAAGTATAATTAATCAAAGCGTCATTTCAAATATTTTCAAATTTTAAAACCGACGATTCATATGATAAATATATTTGGAATTTAATTGAAACAATCACTTTTACACAATTACCGAGACGTGACGTCTTGAAGAAGCCATCAAAGCACGATCAACGTTATATTTGAAAAAAAAAAACAACGTTCCGCACGCATCAATCTAGTATTATATTTCGAAATTTTGCCGAAGAACGGTATCCCTGAGCGACGGAAGAGCAATTAGAGGATTAGCACTGAGGAGAGTTAGCACTAAATTGAGGTGGTTATTGTAATCAAGCCTCTACACTGTTTGCTTTGTTTGCACCCGTGCCCACTTTGTGTTGTAAAAGCTGCAGACTCGTGTTTGCGTCTTGACTAACACGTTCTAATTGTAAGTGCCACGGTTGTTTACAACCTATCCAACCTCCCTTTTCAAATTAAACATCATCCTGCTCTTTGGCTGAATCACCCCTAACACTTCGTCTCCACAGACACTTGCGACGTGATATCGTCGTTCATACATTTTGCTGCTCTTCTTTTTCTTCGAATTGTTGAATTTGTTTTTAAAAATGTGACACATTGTAAATTTTCGGTTACGTATAGTTGTCGCCTAATATGGTCATAGCCGAGACAACTTTTATCATTTCTAATTGGAGGAAAGAAATTTATTTCTCGAAGTGCAATTCTACTAATTATGCTTCAAATAGTTAATTACAGCAAAATATAACACGTGCTTATTGTGGTTTAAATTTATTTAGTCAAGATGGCTTTTATTTCTAATTATGAAACATTTAAAGTCTCAATGGATCTTAATTTCAGCGGTGTATGTATGTAAATGTACATAAGTGGAATATATATGTACGTAAATATGTACGTACATAAGTGGCTTTCATACAAGGTAATTCCATAATTTCTTGTATAATTACACGTAGTAAGTGCCAATTCTAACAGTCTAAATATTTAGTATCTTTATAAGTTAAAATTTTGCAAATTCTCTATGCTTTTATTTGACTCATCCTCTATGCAAATTCTTGATTAACTTTTAACTTTGAAGATCGTAGAATTTGCATTGCTAAACCAATTTTTCCCTTTTAAAACTATACAGTCAAATTTTAGTTTATTTGTAACGACCATAAGAGCAAGAGAAGCAATATTTATACCTTTTAATGAAGATACACATACTTTCTAATCGACACTTCATTCGAGTATCACTTTTTTTAAATTGCCACTTTCAAGCGAAAACTACTTTGAACTAAATTATTTACACTGCCCTGGACAGGTATCTGAATAATTTTGAATTATTGCAAATATGCAACTCAAATGAATCTGTTCAATTTAATTATTACATATACAGTTAATAGAATAGCTAATGTCAATTAGCACAGATAAAAGAGGAATAATTGAAGGTGGTTGAACGCTGATTTATTAATTGCCGTTATATTAATTTACTAATTAAATTATCTATAATTATAATTTATTAATACAGTAATTATTACTAATTATCTGTTAAATATTGAGATACTAGTAGGATCGAAATATGTGCCTTTAGTCATGTTCAAAAAGTTTATACGAATTTTATGAAGAGTCGCCAGATTAAATTTAACCGAACGAGATGAATGCTTAAAATGACTAAAAAAACCCTAAAGTTCAACACTGAACGAACATAGAACAAATTAGAATGCATCTATCATAACCAATTTGTTTTATTTTTAATAATAAGATGTTTCAATTATATTATACTTTTATTATATTGCGATTTTAATTATAAAGTGTTTTATTTTTAATTATAAGATTCTCTGTACGATATTCTGGTATGGACTGAACACCGAAGCAAAGGAATATTCGTCGATCGGTAATTATCGAAAACAAAACAAGATTGCCAAACCTTTTGACGGAATTCCCCTAGAAATCCAATTATTATTTCATCATAAACGGAAACACGCCTCGTAGATACCTTTTACAAACTATCGCGCGAACAACGACAACGTTTCGAGATATTTTGCCCAGATATGCGACGGATTAAATCCGTACATATATATACGTACGTAGGAGAGGTCTGACTCTTTCTCCCGGAGAAGAGATCGTCGATTTTCTTTTTCGTGAGACCGAATGCATAAAGAAACGCGATAAAATACGGGTCTCGCGCTTATCGAGGCCTCCATTGTCCGCAATTAAACGCACAGCCGCCAGCGCAGCGGCTATTTCACTGCACCCGGGCGTTAAAACGTAATCGATGTCGCGATAACATCGACGAGGTTCGCGTCACGGATAGATTTCGCGGTAAAAACATCGGTGAAAAAGGAGTCGTTACCGGTGGATCGTCGTGTTGACCTTAATTACCGATCGGGAAAAGCGGGCAAAAGGGGAGGAAAATGGCAGGGAAGAGGAAGAAGAGAAATGAAACGCTGGCGGGTCGTCGAAAACCGACGAAAATGGTCCAGAACGGGCAAAATTGGTATAAACTGAAACAAAATTCGAATGGTAAAGAATCATGAAAATTATTTTTTTCAACGATTATATACGATATAAACTTAAGTGTGTTTTTTTTTAATATTTGGGGAGGGGGGAAGGGGAGTATCTCGCAATGATCATCTTCTTATGAAATAGTAGTTTCTGATTACTTTTAAGTTAACCTGTGACCTTTCATCAGCCAGTACTACTATCTAGAATTCAGAATTTGTGTCGAGGTCTAGTTTAATTTCGTACTTTTGAAATGTCATCAAACAAGACCCTTCTTTTGAGATAATGTAACAAGATATATTATCTATATATATTATTTATAATTATATTATATTATATTATATTATTTATAATAGATAATAGAAATTATATATATTATCTATATACATAATATCTATTATATATGTAGATAATATAAATATTATAATATATATAATTATATATATATAGATAGATAGATAATATTATAACAAATTCTATTTAAATAATATATTAGAATATTACAATAGATATTATATATATTATCTTGTAATGTGACAAGACATATTATCTTGTTATATTACAAATTACGAAGTCTATAGTTTAATTTCATACTTCTGAGAAGTCATCAAGACCTCTTCTTTTGGGGTAACGTAGCAAGATTTATTATCGCAGCAGGCAGCCAAATTTCTAGGATAAGCCCTGGAGACAAAGGGAGGGGAGAAAAAAAAAACAAACTGGTGGAAAAGCGATGCTTATCCGGCACGGAAATATGCGTACACGTCGGAAGAGAAGGGAGAAATACGAGCACACGTTGCGTAAAGCATGTTCGGACGGAACGTTAATGTCAGTTAATTATCTGTAAAACGCCCGAGGCGGGGGATTCGTTTCCGAAGTGGCGTGCTTGTAACGCGTGGGCGCAGCCCGTGTGTTTTCTGGAATCACGACGCCCGTACAGAATCTCTCGTTGTCGATTTTCGGCCTGGTGAAAAAAAAAAGAAAAAAGAAAAACGCGGCTCGTTTATGGTTCGTTCGTTCGATGCAACGAGAGCAGGAAAGAGATTCCGCGTTTCGTCAGAAAATCAACTGTACAGAATCCAGATTCTATACACGACCCTCTCAAAAATCTAGAGCACGTTAAAACACTGAAAAAAATAATTTTCTTAATCGAAAGAGATAAAATTTCTTAAATAAATACGAGGTTATTTATTATGGTACGTATATTGTGATTTCTCTCACTCTCACTCTCTCTCTCTCTCTCTCTCTCTCTCTCTCTCTCTCTCTTACAGAATCATACGAAAAAGTTAATTTCGTTTGAATAGAAAATGTGTACCCAGTGCTTCAAACTTCTGAGTCGGAATACATTAAAGCATTGAGAAAAAATTCATCTCGATTTTTGAAATACACATACATTTCATATTTATACACTTTATAGAAATATATTTTTATAAAGTGTATTTTATAGAAATATAGCTTCTGGTCATCCATTTATGATTTATGAAAGCACTTATGCACTTGGACACGTCTTTCTCGTGTGTTTGAACGTATAAATATTTACATTGTCCTTTATCTTCGACAACAGGGGTGGTCCCAAAGTCAGTTCATCCTCTGCTACGTGTGATTCATTGTCTCGATTAAACCGTTTAAACCATTTTTTCGCTAATAGAACCTTTTCCACGCGCGGTGTAAATTTGCTTTGCCTGCATACGTATCTCGAGTTTAAACATATAGAACACAGAAGCTTGAATTTTTAACTTTTCACGGTTCATCTTTAATAATGACTGAAAATCCTGTAATTTCAATTTTAATTTTAAGTTAATTAGGTACATTTGCAAATTATCAACTGAAAATTTTTCACGATACCTAATATAGGTATATAGGCATGTTTCTAAATATGTCTTACGATAGAAGAACTTTTTGTTCGGTTCTCTATAATTAAAACAACTCCTCTGTGTTCATATTTTTCAATCTGTCTCTTTCCCTTTCCTCCTCGCCTGTCTTGTCGTTTTCTTTCGGGTTTCAAGAGAAATATAAAGGGGACGAAGGAGAACGACGAGCGATATTGGAATTGTTCACATAGCAATCGACGGCAATTTTTCACGTTTTTATCGGTGGTATTTCATCGCTACCGTGTCGGCCTTTCGACGAGGGAATTTAACAACGAGCAAAAAGCATCGACGGCAAGTTTGCGGTCCGATCCTTCGCGTGATCCCCGTGTCCTGTTCGACGGCACGCTCCCGCGATTCCCACCGAAAATTCGTGCGTGCCGAAAAAGAAAGTGTCGCCGGTCCGGCTTTCTTCCTTCGCGTCGACTCGCACCGATCGATGCACGCTCGCGTTTCTTTCAAATATTTGCCCACCAAACACACACACCGTCCCCGCTCGTCGAGACGAAAACTCGCGAACCGCGACCATCGTAAATACGATCGAACAGAAGGGAGATCGATTTCTAACGACGTTCGACGATTGGATTTGCCGCTCGTCCAAAGCCGTGATACTCCGCAAACGTTGGACGCGCTGTGACGTATCGATGCGAAACACGTGTTTCTGTTCTCGGTGGATTTTTATTTCGCTACTGTTTCTTTGGCGAGAGAGTCAGTTGAGAGAGGGGAAAGTGACGTGTACAGTTCTTGTTATCCTTTTTTTTAAGAGGAACGTCGCACTGAAAAACATATAACAGGTAGAGATAGCGAAAATTGGGAAAAGCCTGTGATATTCAAGATTGACAAAGATTATGCTCTCGACAATTCTTTCTTGGAAAAAAAGAAACAGAAAACATTCGGTGCGAGAAATTGCGTGCATAAAATTTGCTGCGCTGTAACATCCAGAAATGGACACGTGTGGTATTTTGTGGTACGCGTTCGTACGTCACGCGTAAACGCATAAAAGTCTGGTAAATGAACATCTGCGTAATTGAACATCGATGATAAACCGCGCGGCTTGTAGCTGGGTAAGGTACGAACGTCGGAGCCAATGAAGGATACACGTATCCAGCAAGACGGCTGGAAATATTTCACGGTACATCTCTTTAGTCCGGCGATCGGTAAAAATTCTCCTTTCGTCAGCATTGTTACGGAAAATCAGTGTGCATTTTTCACGAGTCGGCGCACAATAGGAAGGGAAACGCCGAGGCATCCGAAGCCGCCTCCCATTGTGATTTTTCCATCCGCGCTTCTTCCTTTTTGCGAAACTCCATCCATTTGTTCGCGGGGGAATCGAAGTTTGCGGATGTTTCGCAGCCATTTCGGAGCGAATGCTACAGGTACCATTCTGATAAATGGAACGTCGACCGGCCTGCACATACAACGCTATAAATCT